GAAGTTTACGGAAAATCAATTTAACAAACGGAGACGTAACAGTATTATAAGGACATTGATGATTAAAGTATTTCTCCCCCTGAAACCGATACTTCATATCGTGAACGCGGATACATATCTCTTTGTTATATGTGTGCCTCCACTAGAGTAGTTCCTTAAATTAATATTGCGAACGGTATCGAGCACTTTTAATGCGTGTATAATACTGTATAAGAAATGCTTAGTTTTGTAATTCTGTTAAACTACTTTAAGCCAAGGTTTCGTTTAATGGATTTAAGTCTTTAAGAAATCTTATTACTGGCGTTGTTAATATTATCTATTATAATAATACTTAGTTTTCGTCTGCTCTGAAAATGCGCGCGCATTTCATTTAAACGGATGTAAACAAAAGGCGGATGAAATATACTTTAGTAGGAATTTTGTACTACATATTAAAATCTTATCAAAGATTTTAAAGAGATCTAATTTTAGGTCGTATAATAACATTATCATTTTATTTGCTGATGGTATTAAGTACGCTAAAGTTGAGCCCTAACTAACCTAAAGCGAAAAACGCATACAAGTTACAATTTTTAATTTTACTCTTCGAATATAGGCCGTACTTAGCAAAGGCTTAAGCAAAGTGTATAATTCTACATATTAATTTACCTTAAACAACAACAACTAATGTTAGGCCTAACACAAGTGGAGTTGTAGATTTCGGTGTCTACAATTAGTATTTTTTAGAAATTTGTATTTAATGAAGTACTATTGCATTGATAATACTAATTTGACCGCAAATGTTTTGCGGGTCTCTGCTAGATACCAATAATATGTTATTTATTCGAAGTAACGTAAGTCTTAACTACGTGTAGTATGCTATTACTACTACTAGCATTACTGTCGTTAGGCTTATGGTGTATTGCCTAAGTTGGCGAAGCGTAATCTGTTAATTAAATTGTATTATTAAAGGTGTGATATTACATTTAATTCATAGTAATAATGACTAATAATTTTAATCACAATTGAAATCTTAATTTTTAAAATTAGGTTCTTATAGTTATATACCAAAGAATACAGAGCACTGATACTGATAGTATCAGGTATTACACTACACCTACAGTGTCGATCATATTTTAGTATTTTTGGCGCGATCTTTTTTATTCAATTTATTTTGCGTGTGATATAGTTCTGAACATATGCCTATTTAAAGTTTAGTAATTAAAATTTGTAGAAAATATATGTGTTTGGATAACATGGATGTACTAGAAGTACTAAATACTAATACCTAGATATCACCTTTAGTTCTATAACGTTCATTACCTTTTTAAGTATTACAGCTAACATACATGTTGTTTTTAATATGGAAGAGAAAGAAGATCTAAACTTATCTAAAAAGTTCTTAAGAATATTTAGTAAGACAAAGCTGAATGTTGTAAAAAGGAACACTGAATAATTACATCTAATAATATTAATATTAACATAAAACTTAAAAAAAACTAAGCAAAAGACCTAATCCACATAAGTAACAATATATTATTATTGTTGATTAAAAAAGTGTAACATATTATGCTTAAATTTTAAATGCAATATAGCAGAAGTATTCAGGTGAGTTCAGATACTGCCAAGATCAAGCCTATTATGATTTAAATATTGTAATTTCATTTCATTGTTTAGATAACAATAGGCTTGGCTCTATGAAATTCATTGCTCATAATTCTATTTCTTTTAGGATGTAACTGTAATAAAAGTTTCTCCTGATCAAAGGTAATTTGGCAAGTTTTGAGTTGGTCATGTGCTGTATGATATACTGCACAAAACTGTCAAAGGACAGTTGGCATTTATAATATTCTTAACCATGACAAGGTAAGATCACAGTTATAAAATAAAGTCAATACAGTTATTTTCCAATCAACAATCTGATGTCACTACATGTGATCTAAAATGTAAATGATTGGCCATTAAGTCTGCAGCTTATAAAATTAAAAGAGTTTATGGATTTACTGTTCATGACATTTTGATCAGCATGAAATATGAACATCATGTGAAACGTGATATTAATACTTTATACTTAGAATAAAGTGTGTTGATAAAGTCCTTGGCCAATTCTTGGAAAGAGCTATTTTTAGGGTTTCTTTAGTGGATGGAATTACTTTAAGGGATATAATGTGGCACCCAAGAACATCCCATACATGCTCAATGACATTGAATTTGATGTGTGGCATTAATGGAAGTATCAGATTATGTACCAATTTATCCCTGCCCACAGTGTATATTCAACACTGACATGTGAATCATGTTTATAAACATGATGTTGGATTTGGTTCTGACTTCTCTCCAAACAACTATATGCTTGTTATCTGGCTGCAAGGTTTTAGTCTCCTTACTTAAGAAAGAGTCATGAAGAGAGCTACTAGGATGATTCCATGGATATGATGGTTATCTTACAGGGATAGGTTAAAATATTTTAACTTATTTTCTCTTGAGAAATAAAGGGTAAGAGGTAATCTTATTGAAGTTTACAGGATTACTCAGAAGATTGATAGGATTAAGGCTTATGATTTTTTATGCTATGTTCTGAAGATGATAGAAACAGGGGACACAAGTTTAAGACTTAGAAAATTCAGGTTAGGCTCTAGTTAAAACAGTTCTATTTTTCTAAAAGGATTGTTGAATTATTGAATGAGTTGCCATCTGTGGTTGTGGAAGCCAGTACTTTACAGGATTTTAAGAGAGGAATTAATGATTTGCTGAAAAGTAATGAGTGGGCTTAGATTTTTACTTTTCCCAAGGATAGTTGTGAAAGGACAACCTTGAAGAACCAAATGATTGCTTATTGTTTGTAGGTTATGTGATAAATTTTGTTCCATGTAACCCTGACACTATTGCATACAAGTTATTTTGTGGCTTGCTGTAACTGGAATGTCCACACTGGGTACCTGGCATACAGACTGGCCTTCTGAAGTTTGTTTTTAAGCATTTGTTCACTGAAACTTTATCCAGTGATGGCTGCAACCATATGATTCAGTCTCACACCATGAATCTACAATTATGGAAAAGGACCAGTAACATTCATTTGTGTACTGTGGACAATGATTATCTCATCCATATATCCAAATAACTGTACCATTTGTTTGGTAATTGTTCCACAATTGGCTAAAGAGACTTTGAGATGTACTGAATGGTTTCCATTTTTCAGGTGGCTCTTCGTACAAGCGAAACATTCAAATACTTTTTTATGTCTAACCAAGGTTCACAACAGTTCATTTCAAAATTACAATATAGGCAAGATTTTGTGAGACCAATATACATATATATATATATATATATATATAGCCAAGGCTACATGACAAATTATCATATTTGAATTTTAGGTAACATATTATAGATCATATTCCTGATTGGCAAAACAGTGAATTGAGGTGGTTAATTGATATTATTTTTATAAAAGTGGATTTTTCCTTGTTACAGCTTTAACACTACAAGCTCTTCAATTTCATGTAATGTTTTTATATTTTAAGATTGTTAATACAAAGTTTTTCCAGATATTGGAAAGAATGACTTATAATATGAACAAGCTGAATGCAATAAGACATTTTGGCACAGCTTTTTACTTTTTTTTTTCACCATCTTCAATGCTTATAGAATTTCAAATATTTGACCTCTTTGTGCTGTTACATGGCATGTAATGTGCAGTTCTCCTACTTTTTAAATGATTACATAAATGAACGACAACAGAATAGCTAGCAATTGAGGTCATCCATCAAGCACCCAAAATGATAGAAATATAAACAATAAAGCCCAGCTTTAAGTATAATCTTTTATGTCCATAAATTGATCTTACAGACCTATCACACATCACATCCTTTGCTAAACTATTCCATAAATCAATTACCAAAAGGTTTAATTGGTTCTAAGAACACTTTGATTTAGACTCTAACAAAGAAATATTTCCAAACTTATTCTCCTAGATATCAGATAGGCTGGTAACATGCAACATATTTAATTCCCTAAACATCTTAAATATTTTATTTCAAGCTTGCTTTTATCTATTCATTTGATATAATTTAATTGAAATGTAACTAGTGTTAATATTTAAAATTAGGTTATTAAAACTTTATGGTACATCATAAGGTTGAAGATGGCAGATAAGAAGAGGAAAGGAAAAAAGGACGAAATACCACAACCATCAACCATTGAAGTTGTAAGTTGTTTTTGATATTTTGTAATTCATTATTTACTGGTCATTCCCTTTCAGTAGTTCAGAAAGACCACAACCATCAACCATTGAAGTTGTAAGTTGTTTTTGATATTTTGTAATTCATTATTTACTGGTCATTCCCTTTCAGTAGTTCAGAAAGACCACAACCATCAACCATTGAAGTTGTAAGTTGTTTTTGATATTTTGTAATTCATTATTTACTGGTCATTCCCTTTCAGTAGTTCAGAAAGACCACAACCATCAACCATTGAAGTTGTAAGTTGTTTTTGATATTTTGTAATTCATTATTTACTGGTCATTTTCTTTCAGAAGTTCATGCAGATATGAATTTTATATTTCAAATATCAAAGAACTTAAACTTTCCCAGTTTTCGGTTGGTGAGGGCTATAAATATTTGGGCTTTAATTAACATAATAACCATTATAAGCATTCATTTTAAGGTTCATCCAACATGAATAAGTTATAAATAAATATTTAGGTTATATTAGATGCATGGTAGCTAACTTACATTCATTTCTCAACAAGTGTTTGTATTCCAATATGTTGAATTACAACTCCTGTATAACACTAGCTTATGTACGTTTCTTTTGATTAGATAGAAGTAAATAAAAACTCAGTGTACCACCAGTATTGGAGGCCATGTGGCCAAAGTATTGACCTCATAATTCTCTTTTCCTTACACCTGTTTTATCATATCACAGTAGCTATATTTATACATTATTGATGTTATCTCAGTGAGTGAGTTTTAGATGATCACTTATATTTATACTGAAAACAATTACATGTGTAAGTTTAGATTTGGGTTTTTAGAAGTGCTTGTTATTTGGTTATTAGGTATGCTTTAGATTGTGGTAAAGTAGTTGTGCATTGTCATGTAGTCTGCATCAGTAGGTTTCTCTTAGCCAAACTCTGTATACTGTTGTCCAATAAAAAAATACAGCTAACTGTAAATACAAAAAATACAGTTTATTACAACACTTTTGTTTTTCATCTTATGCTTTTGACATTTTGATAATTCATTAAAATTTTTTTATTTAAAACCTGTATAATGTTTCAGATTTTTTATATCATTTCTTCAAGAATGATTTTTAAAGGACATTCTTAACATAACATAATATTTTGGGACAACATGGGACCTATTGGTCCATCTTGGCTGTTCCATCCTCAAAACTAAATTAAAATAATTAAAAAAAATAATTTAAACCCAGCCCTTTTCATTCATATATTTATCAAGCTTTTTCTTAAACTCACTTAAATTTACTGCCTCTACAACATCTGAAGGCAACCCATTCCAAAGGCCAACCACCCTCTTAGAAAAATAAAACTGTTTCAGCTGAAGATGACCCCTACCTTGCCAAAATTTATAGTTGTGTCCCCCTTTTTGCACATATGAATATATTATTTCACATATTATTATCTTTAACTCACCTTCTTTGTTATGAGCACAACATAAATATATTCCCAAACAAACAGGTGATATTTTGTAAAGTTCAACACGTTATGTCCTCTCAAGATTGCGTCGCTCCCCCTCCCCCCGATTTCCCCTAAGTTGTCGTGCAGGTTTTATAAAATATTTTTATAAATCTGGTCTAATTGTTTTGGCAAAACTTTTGTTAAATTAAAATTATTCATTAACG